CCCCAAAACCCCAAAACCCCAAAACCCCAAAACCCCTTTTAAATTATATAAATATGGCATACGAAATACTTAAATCTACACTTGTATCCTGAATCTTTGTGGGATTTGCTTATCTTCCAAAGCCTAAGCAATGTCCTTCAAATATGCCATATGAGTCTTTTGAAGCCTGGAATACCACAAAGGCTGCAGTATATGCAACACTGATAAATCTTGTAGTTCATTTATTAACAGACAGTGATCTATTTTACAGTAAGGAGCAAGACAATGTATCGTTTAGATAATTTCATTCCAAATTTTGATTCTTCAGCTATCATTTATGCAATGTTACTCCCGATAGTAATGAATACAATCCTCTTCTTTGGTGAATGGGTACAGTTCTTTGGTTCAAAGACTAGAGACTTCAGGTAATTCCTCAATATAACTATCTAGAGAGTTTATTGAAGACATTTTCCAGCATACAGAAAATATGGTTAAGTTCAAATTCTACATCAGCGCACCTGCTGTTGAAGAGATATGTTACAGAGGAATAATTTTAAACTTATTCCTAAATAGTGGAGATTATACAGTAACTCAAAGTATCTTGATCTCCCCTCTATTCTTCTCTGTTTCTCACCTGCATCATATCATCAAGGCCATGAATGAGGATTCAGATATTCTTAAGAGAGAAATTGCCCAAAGAATCTTCCAAGCAGGGTTTACCTGGCTCTTTGGAGTTTATTCAGGATTTATCTATGTAAGAATTTAGTATAATTTATAGATTTCCTCTGGAGGGTACCTCCTTGCCCCAATAATACTGCATTCCTACTGAAATCTCATCCAAATACCTCACCTAGGAATTTGCTTCAGTAGTGACACAGAGCCGATCTTGAGGAAAATTCTGCTTGGAAGTTACATAATCGGGATAGCAGTATTCTTTTGTCTAGCATTTCAACTCTAATCTATATCGTACCCAAACCTTCATTGCCAAAATTTTAGTCCCAAAATTCAACCAGAACAAATTAAATCGGGGTTTTGGGGTTTTGGGGTTTTGGGGTTTTGGGG